ATTTAAGGATAGTCAGGATGGTACAAGGATAGGATGGGCATCAAAGGACAAGTCCCTCCTGGAATCTGTAAATCAACAAAGCCTTTCTGGATGGTAGTTTGGCAAAGTGGACCAATATTTTAAATGTGTAAACTCTTTGGCACTCTGATTGCACTTATAAAAGTTAACCCTATGGAAATGATTAGATGAGTGTGCCAAGAAACACATTTGGGATAGTTATTTATAGTATCAAAACTGAGAGGAAAAAAAAAAAAAAACAGACAAATTGAATAGCAATGGCCTTTGCAAGTTGCTACATCGACCTACAAGGCATCCTTTATAAACTGGAGACCACTGTTCTATGTTGATTTCAAGAGTACACACACATGTGATGCTTAGTCGTATCCTCAACTTGATTGGCTTGTGAGATGCCCAGGAGATTAGCAAAGCACACTTCTAGCCAGGCTTGGTGCGCATGTCTACAATCCCAGGAGGCAGGAGAACTGTCCATTCGAGGCTACACTGAGCTACACAGAGAATTTAGGCTTTCCTAGAATACATAGCAAGACCCTGTCTCAAAACACAACAACAAAAATAAGCACACTTTGGCTGTGTTAGGAATGAGTCATGGATGTGTGTGACTTTTGAGACTGTATCTGGTCCCTAGACCCTTTGGTGAGTGTTCTGATCTCTGCTTCTTTGATACCTTGAGTTGAGCAGTTTTCCTCCACTAGTCACTTCCACCAAGCTGCGTTTTCCTTGGAGCCAGCAAACCATGGAGTGAACCTCTGAACCATAATCCAAAATAAGCCTCTTTTCCTTTAATTGCAGTATGAGGTATTTGGTCCTAGTCACACACACACAAAACTGACCAATATGACGAGATGCCACATTGATAAAAGCATAGGCAGGAAACAGCATGTATAACAGGTTTTGTCACGACCTCAGGTGTTTATAATACAATTCTTTCTTCCTTTGTTTTGTTTTGTTTTGTTTTTTGAGATAGAGTCTTGCTGTATAGTCCAGGCTGGCCTTGAACACATTAAATAGCCCAGGTTGGCCTTGAATTTGTAGCAATCCTCCTGGCTCAGCCTCTCACATGCTGGGATTATAGGCATGTGCCACCACACCTGGATGTTTGTTAATGTTTGGGGCATTTGCCCAGCAGATGACCACTGTTTCCAGGTGGTAGGATGGACCATTGGTGATTCTTGCTTTTCTCCTTTATACTTTCTGTGTTATATAAATTAACAGAGGCTACTATAGTACTGAGAAAAGTTATAATAAACCAATTTCATTTGTGAGAAAGCTAGCTGGTTTTGTATCCTCATATCCTACCTCACCCCGGATTCTGAGTCCCACAGAGAATTCTAAGGTTCTGCCCTGGCCTGAGTGTTTTGTTTTGTTTTGATTTGATTTGTTTATGTACCAGGGATCAAACTCAGGACCTTGCACTTGTCAGGCAGGCACTTATGACACTGAGCTAAATCCTTGGCCCAATCTAACTATATTTTGAGCTATTAGAAGGTCACATTACTCAGCTGGGCATGGTGGTACCTGCCTGTAATCCCAGCACTCAAGAGGCTGAAGTAGGAAGGTCACTGTGAGTTCGAGACCAGCCTGGTCTACAAAGTAAGCTCCAGGTCAGCCTAAACTGCAAAGTAAGACGCTGTTTCAAAAAGACCAAAAATAAATAAATAAATAAATAAATAAATAAATAAATAAAAATTTAAAAGTAGATCACATTATTCATTAACCAGCCAGTGGGCCAAAAACTCTGGTCAAACTAACAGAAATTGTTTCTAAAGTTCTGGAGCCTCCCCTTTGACTACCAAGTCCACTCCCTGAACTTGCGGGTGCTGGAAAGGAGCCCTCCTCTCACCTGGCTTTCTGAATGAGCCCAGTAGCCCTGGGGACATGGGGCACATCTTTTTCTCTTTTGGGGTCTCAGTCTCCCTAACCATAACTTTCGGTTTTTAGACAGGGTCTCCCTATGTAGTTCAGGCTGGCTTTGAACTCACTTATGCAGCCAGTTCTGGCCTTGAACTCAGAGCGGTCCTCCTGCCTCAACGTCCTCCTGACCCAAGTGCTAGGGTCGTAGGAGTGCACCACCATGCCCGGCTTCCTTAGTTGTAAACTGATGAGTTCTTTTTCTATTTTAAATTCATACTTCCTGATTAAAAATAACAAACTTCACATCCTTCACGAAGGCTATTTTTCTTTATCCCAAAGCTCAAGAAGATTCTGCGGAATTTTATTTTCTGTAGTTTTGTTTTGTTTTGCTTTTGGAGAGTGTCTTTCTGACTAGCCCAGGCTGGCCTCAAACTTTGGATCTTTCTGCCTCATAGATAAAATTATAGACATGTGTCAACATACTCAACCCTGTAGTTTGTATCATAAAAACAATAGATGTCACTGGGTGTGGAAGCACACACCTGTAATTCTAGTACACAGGAGGCTGAGGCAGGAGGATCGTAATGCATTTAAAGGCAGCTGGGACTATATAGTGAGTTCAAGGCCAGCCTGAACTACACAGCAAGAATTAAATAATAACCCAGAATCTGAGCACAGCACAGAGCTCCCTGGAGCCACAGCTCACCTCCAGCCTGGAGGCCTAAAGTCTTTCTCCAATCCTCTTTAGCATGGTGGCTGAATGCCCCAGGCCTAAACTCAGACAGCCTGCAAGGACCCACAATACAGCGCAGGTATCTTGTCTCAGAACTGATTTGTGAGATCTGACAATCTTAGCTTTTTTTTTTCCTTTTCTTTTTTTTTTGGTTCTGGGAATACGAACTCGGGACCTTGCACTTGCCAGAAGTGCACCCATGCTGCTGAGCCGTCCCGGCCCTAAGATCTGATGATCTTAATTTGGGTTCCAAACTGGTTTTCCACGCGCGGTGTGGCTGAGCAAGTTCTTTCCTTCCTTCTCTCGTGCTTTCCCGTCCCTTCCTCCCTTCCACCTCTTTCCCCCCTTTTCCCATTTTTATTTCTTCCTCCTCTTCTCTTTCTCTATTTTTTTGTGTCACGCACCCAATCTTCACTCTGAACATGCAGGTAACAGAATCTTTCCACATCTATATGTACCTGTGGCCACCGCCTGCATTAAGGGCATCTCTCCAGCAGCCCAGACATTCTCTTCCAGCTGTCCCCCTGCACTCCTCCTTCATAGGAAACCCCTCTTCCCCATGTCCTGTGACTCTGCCACTTGATTTTTCCCAATCTTGAATTGCATAAAAATGGGACCGTAGCCTGGCACTTATGTGTCTGGCTTCCCTTCTCCACGTCAGACTGAGATTCATTCTGATTGTTGTATGTGGCTTTATTTTTGTTTTCCTTACTATATAATGTTCCAGTATGTGATTGTTTGAAAACACTATAATTTCTCCATTGAAGTTCATAGACTGTCTCATTTCCAGCTTGGGGATAGAGTTTTCTTCCTTTCTCTCTCTCTCTCTCTCTCTCTCTCTCTCTCTCTCTCTCTCTCTCTCTCTCTCTCTGTGCATTACTGGGGACTTCTCCATGCTAGGCAAGCTGAGCTATATCCCTACCCCTTTTATATTATCTTGAGGCAAGTTCTCACAAAATTCCTAGGCTTGCCTCAAACTCATCATCTTCCTACCTCAGTCTCTGGATTCCTGGGCCACCACATCCAGCCACCAGGATCACCATTACACCACCCTTTAGTGGTGTAATAGCACTGATGTGTCCCTGGTTCACTTGGGCTGGGAAAAAGGGTCTTAGGCTAAGACCTGGGTCTGGTTTTAGCGCATACAGTGAACACATTTTTGGATTTCAGCTGTGAGGTGGGAGTGTCAATAACAGCAGCTATCTTAAAGGACTATTTTATACAAATCCAGGTAAAGTAGGTAGATGAGGTACATCAAAATTCACAAAATAGAAATTGTTACTAGGAAGGGAGCAGAGGAACATGAAAATGTAGCTATTTTTCTGAACTTTTAGATGCTCCATGATGAATTATTGGCACAGGGAACTTAATGAGGACAATGGATATAAAGGTGATACATGACTATTGTAAAAACAAAAAGTCCAGCAAAATAAGGTGTAGAATAAAAGGTGGGATTCGATTCTTTTTTTATTGTTAAAGAGAAATATATAAGATGTAGTGGTACATGCCAGTAATCTCAGGTACTTGGGAGGCTGAGGCAGAAGGATCAGAAGTTTAAGGCCAGCCTGGGTAACTTAGCAAGGCTCTGTTTCAAAATGAAAAATTAATTAATGAAAGATTTCAAAATAATTGACCTTGGGGTACAGTTCAATGGTAGAGGACTTGCGTGGCATAGTTGGAACCCTCATTCACATGCTGCATGAATTTTCTTACATCTTTGCCCCTCTATGGGTTGATGCTCTGACCTGAAGGATGTCCTACTCTCTGTGCCTCAGTCTCCCCATCTGTACAAGGAGATGCCTGATGAGCTTTGGCCTCCGCCGGTCCCCACTCCAGGTCTGATCCTGGCAGCGGAAGTCTGGAGAGCTGTTGCTTGCCTCTCTGGGATACGGGAGCAAGACCATGCATTGTCATAGCCCCAGTGGCCGCCCTCTCAGGGCCCTCGTCTGTCTAGTGTCCCAGCATGGCAGTGAGCTGGCTGCCGGCCTGGGAGTACCTGTCCTGTACCTCTGGTGTCCGCTTAGGGACTGTAGGTGACATCCTTGTCCTTGCAGGCCTGGCCCATGGTGCCCAGGGAACGACCCTTCCTCCGCTGGTGGAAAGTGGGAAGTAGAGGACCGTCTCCAGCTGGCCAGGAAGACTGACCTCCTTGTGCCCATCAGCCCTCCAAGAATCCCGCCCACTGGCCAGCCCTCCCTCTTTCCACTCCCCCTGGCCTGTGTGCAGGGTTTTGGGATCAGCCAGAAAAGTCAGGCAGTTCTCAGTGACTGCAAGAAAGGGAGGCAAAGTCTCCCGGTGGCTGGGGCTGGGTCCAGTCCCTGGGAGCAGCGGTGCTGAGCTCCACCCCTAACTCTGCGCCCCATCCAGCACTCCAGACTTTGACCTTGTGTTCCAGACCTACAGGCAGGCAGAGGGCAGAAGACAAGACGCCCCAGAACCAGGAGCCTCCCTGCAGGAGACAAGGCTTTGTGCCCCCAGCAGCCTCATTTCTCCAGGAGACTGGTGTGTGGGTGAGTGTCGGGTGCACCCAGTGGGGTAGGGACACAGGACGCAGTGTCTTCCTGGCAGGGCTCAACATGAAAGTCTGAGACAGGCGCCAGAGGTGAGGGCAGACTTAGCCTCAGACAAATTGTCCCCAGAGAGAGGAAGCTCTTGTGTGGAGTCAGGTAGGGATGCAGGTGAGTAACTTCCCTCACCAAGCCTCAGTTTCCTCTCGGCCACAAGGAGATCTTATCTCACCTCTTGCAGGGTGAATCTGAGTCTCACAAGAGATGATGAATAGAAAGTGCTCAGCAAAGAACTAGGCATCTATCAAGGCACTATCACTATCAAGGCATCCATCAGATACTCAATCAAGGGTCATTTGGGGAGAGGAAGGAAATAGCCCTGGTCTGGTGACTTTATAGCTTCTATTCCATTTTAAAGTGAAACTGCCAAGCATGGCGGTGCACACCCATCATCCCAGTATGCTGGGAGGCCGAGGCAGGATGATTATAAACTATCCTCACCTGGGCAGCTTAGTTGCTTAACAAGACCTGTCTCAAAATAAAAAGTAGAAAGAGCTGAGGATGTAGATCAATGCAAAAGCCCCGGATTCAATACCAGTTAGTACCAGTTTAAAAAATGCAACTCTGAAAATACCAAGCCATGGAATGCAAGGCTGAAGTGCACGAGCTGATGAAACAGCCGCTTCGTGTTCATCATTCCCGTCCTCACCTGGGACTTCTTGATTTTCTTAGAACAAGTCTTTTGTATTCTTTGCTATGTAGCAATCAGGCATACGCTGCCTCAGATTGCTTTCTAGGGCACAAGTGAGGTCATCAGCAAACAGAGACAAGCCTGAAACACAAGCAGAAAAGTGCCAAGTGCCAGCTGATGACATTTTCTGCCTGCATTTTCCTATGGTGCCAGGCAAGAACTCAGCAGGAACTGGGTGGAATCTCAATGCCGGCCAAGGGAACTGGGTGAGTGGCTTCTCCTCCTGGAACCTTAGTCCTAAGGAAAGTCCCTGTGACCCACAGCAGTTAAGAGTGTTGCAGGGATCGTATGTACAGTGGGTCTGCATGTGTAAGGCAAGCGACAGGGACCCAAATATGTTGGTTCTCTTCTTGCTCCACACTTGTGTATATTATAATCATGAACATGGGTGTGTGTGTGCACGCACGTGTATACTATGGTAACTCCAGCTGCTTCTTACTTTTGGGTAGATATTCCAAGTATGCCTGCTTGATGTAACACTGGCATAAAATAGAAGAAATAACAACACTAATAGAAACATCAGCAACAACAAGGAAATGGTTGGCTTAATAACCATGCTGTGTATACACAGGTTCAGGAGTTCATTATCCACGAGCATGAATGATTTTACCCGAGGCTGGGTCTACTAGAGTCTACAATCTGGCTCCCACTTCTCATGAGACCCTCATGCATTTCTATTGCACTTTGATACTCAGCTAGATCATCGTTATTAAATTTGACGCATATAGTATGGGTTTGTTTCCAAAGGGAGTTCACTTAGGCCTAGTTTTCAATTCTGTTTCCACCACGACACTAAAAACCCCATGGACATTGCGTTTTAGGTTTTGAAAATGCAGGGTACAGAAATACTGGCTGTTTTTTTTTATTTGCTTGGTCCTTGGGTTGTTCTGATTATGTGACCTGGCAGCGTGGTAAGGTGTATAGGTATAGCCACACAGGAGTCAGGCTGGCCTGGACTTTGCTTTTCACCAAGTGGATATTTTGGCACATGACCTTCACTTCTCTGAGCCTCAGTTGCCTCAGCTGCAAAATGGGCATAAAGGTATCCTCTAGCCAAGCATGCCAGCACATGCTTGTAATCTGAGCACCCTGGAAGGCTGAGGCAGGACAATCTCAAGTTCAAGCCCATCCTGAGCAGCATAGTGACTTGACAAGAGACACTATCGCAAAATAAAGTAAAAGAAAAATAAAAGAAACTGAATTGATAGGTCAATATGAAGACCCCAGATTCAAACTACAGTACCACAAAAAAGAAAAATTACTTTATGGGAAGATTACACAAAAATTACTTAGCACAATGCAACATAAGCTAGGAGCTGAAAAGACAGTTGTACTATCACTGTTCCCACACTGTCAGTGCTTTTCTCTGCCTTCCATAGAATAAGCCCTTTATTAAAACCTCCTGACTTTGGCTTGGTTGCTCCCCTTCACTGGACCTCAGTTTCCCTATTGTTTTTTATACAAGGTCTTGTGTGATGCAGCCTGGCCTTGAACTTGCTTATGTAGCCCAGGCTGGCCTCAAACTCACTCTGACCCGCTTGCCTCAGCCTCTCCAGTGCTGGGGTTTCAGGTGTGCGCTGTCATGCTGGCCTTCAGTTCCCCCATTCTTACAAGAACATCTGAAGAAACCGACCTCTGTCCTGTTCTTGTCACTCTTCCTCTTGGGCAAAGCCTTGCAGCCGCTCCGGCTCCTCCGTCCACCTCTGCTCTTTGGCCTTGCTTTGGTCCTAAGTCCCTTTTTCTAATTCAGGGGCCTCCCAGACATTTTCAAATGTTCCTCTTCTGCCACCTCAAACATCGCTATTTTATAGCAGCCCCCCCCCCCCCAATTCTTTGCTGATTTTCTGGGCTATGTGAGAATGGAGAAAGTGCCCTCCTGGAGAGAGCAGGTCTAGGTTCTCATCCCCTGCTCTTTTTCTAACTTTTATGAGCTTGAATAGCTGACCTCATTCTCAGTGAGTCTCAGATCTTCATCTACAAACTGAATATTGTGATCTTCACTATTGTCGTGTGCTTTTTTTTTGGTTCCAGGGAATGAACTCATGACCTTGCGCTTGCCAGGCAGGCGCTTATGCCACTGAGTTAAATCCCATGTCATGCACATTGCATTTTCTCCTTTGATTCTCCTAGGAGCTCTATCCATGCATGCATGCATGCATGTGCCCGTCCATGTACCTGTCTGTGTACCTATGGATACTCACCTATCCATGTATGCATCCATCCATCTACCCACCCACACATGCATGCATCCATCTACTGTGTTTCTCCCGAGGGCAGTCACTATTCCAAGTCCTAGAAATAGAGCAATGAGAAAGACAGAAGTCCCTGCCATCTTGGGCTGACATTCTGGCAAGGAATCCCTGAGGCAGAGAGGTTTGTTAGCTCATCCTGGCCTGCCCAGGATCCTCCTGATTTCACCACTGAGAATGTGCATCTTAGTCCCAGGCACACTGAGGTGGTGGGTCACCCTCACCTAGCCAAGTTCAGGAACTTGCTCGGGTCACACGGCCAGTGCAACCAGAGTCAGGCTATGAACCCGGATCTGTCTGACCATCAACCTGAGCTGTGACTGCTACCTCCCTCTCCCACGCTGCCTCACAGATTTACCACAAGAGATTTGGAAAGCACAGGAAAGCCTTTCATTCCTCTTTCTGTTTATTATTAAAACACAGATTCCGCAGAGATTATGCAGCGACAGAAGAACCAGAGAAGGAGAGGAACTTGACAAAGGTCACCCAATGAACCAGAAATAAAGCCAAGTCAGATTCCCCTTTCTTCCTGTCTCCTCCTTTATATCCAGCGGATTTTGTTTTTGTTTTTCCCCAGTGTGATTTTCAAGGTGCTAAGGGACAGAGTGGGCTTTCCATGTTCCGAAGGCTCCCTCTGTGTCAGGGTCCTCACTGGGAACTGAGGTACATCTTGTCATTTAATCCTCAGGGCGACTCAGGACAGTGGGATTGCCCTGTTTTACCACTGAGCTGTCATGTTCTCTGAGGCAAAGTGTGGAGGTGAAGGAAGGGAGGTGACAGCGTCCAGGGAGGGTCTCCTCTCCCTGTTCTCAGGATCTGAGCTCAGGTCCCAGCTGGAGCGGGAATGGCCTGGAAGAAGGCCACTTTCTGTGCACTCAGTCTATCTCCAATTTGGCTCCAACAGAGTCCAGTTCTTGTGACCGGGAGCCATTGCTCCCCCTGTACAAAACTAGGCCATGCCGAGAATGTCCTGCTGTTCGGGGTCAGAGGCCCCAGTTGCCAGGAGCTGAGGTCTGTGGGAGGACAGTGGTGAGGCAAGGAGAGGGAAGTCGAATTTGGCCCTTCCGGGCACAAACAGTCCTCTCGCTCTGCCTCGCAAGAGCCAGCAGAATGGATCAAGGTCAGAAGCTGCTAGGCCTTCTCCTCAGTCGCTGGCATCCCCGTGGGCTGACTGGGCCCTGCTGCTCTGGGATGGGCATGATGGAAAGGGTGGTTGCTATGGCAACAGCCGAGTGCACCCGGCGGTCCAGAGGCCGCCTAGGCGGAAGGGGGGTGAGACCATCTGCACCTCTGTCAGGCCACACTGTGCCCCTGGGGTAGCACCCTGACCTCGGCTGGGCCTGCAGGTGACATCTGACAGGGCCCCAGGCCACATTCAAGTTGCCCCACATTTGCTGTCAAGTTGGAGATGTTTCAGATCCCTCCATGCTAGAGGATTTCAGAAAACACAAAGTAAACTCCCACTGTGTTATCAAAATGGAAATAGGATTGGCTGGAGAAGGGAGTCACAGAGTGATGGTGAAGTACAGGAATCAGGACAGTGGAAATGGGTGGGGATGCAGCTCAGTGGCACAGCACCTGCCTCGCAAGGGCGAGGTTGGGAGTCTGATTCCAGGTACCAAAAAAAGATAGTGGGAGACTCACAGCCAACAAGTTCTTAGAAAGCGATGACAAATTGGTTTTAAAGGCTGCTGTGGGAGAAGTCAGGTTACTGAGGCATGAGGATTTAGTGAATCTGTTGGAAGTGCACAAGAAAAGAAATTCATACCTGGTCTTCAAATGCCCTTAAAATTATTATTATTATTTTCTTTTTTTCTTTTGAGACAGGGTCTCACTATGTAGTGCCGGCTGCCTATGAACTAACTATGTAGCCCAGGCTGGTCTGAACTCATAGTGATTCTCTTGCCTCAGCCTCTCAAATCCTGGGATTATAGGCAGGCATCACCATGCCTGGCTCTCTTAAAACTCTTGATGACTTGAAACTCTTTCCACATACACTAGCC